AGGAAGGAAGGAAGGAAGGAAGGAAGGAAGGAAGGAAGGAAGGAAGGAAGGAAGGAAGGAAGGAGAGAAAGAATTCATGTGAGGCCGAGGAAGTCAGGTTTACCCAGGACAGTGTGAGCTGTGGATTTTAGGCAGGGGAGACATGATTCAGTTTGAGAACCAGTCATCCTGGATTCCCCCTTTGCTCTGAGCCTTCGCACATTCTCTTTTCCCTGTTGGTCACTCCTTCTTGTTCTGCTCATCCGTCCTCCTTCCCCGAGTCCTCCTCCTTGCAGGGTGCTCTCCCTGAGCCTATTGTGCTCTCTCTAGGAGCCCCGCCTCCTGACCTATGTTTCCATCATAGCCCTGGTCACCTAGGGATGTCATGATCCGGGATGTGTGGGCCTGTTTGGCAGAGCTCATGGAGGTCACTACTGGGGAGTGTTGTATAAATTATTATTGAAGGAGAGCAGAGGTCTGGCCATATGTATTCTTCATACTTAAAAGTACTTTCTTTCCACAGATGTCACCTGTGAGGGTCCTCGGTGTCCCTTCTCCCAGCTGCCAACACTGCCCTTCCAGCTAGATCTGTGTGAACAAGTGTTTGGTCTCTCAGCTGCATCTGTTGCCCAGGCTGTGGCCCAGACAAACTCCTATTATGGTGGCCAGACTCCCGGAGCCACCCAAGTGCTGTATGTGAACGGTGAGTGTGCCACCAGAAGCTGGCTCTACAATATCATTGTAGCCCCAGCTCAACACCATCCTCTCCTTTCTTTCCAGGGGACACGGATCCCTGGCATGTGCTGAGTGTAACACAGGACTTGGGGCCCTCTGAGCCAGCCCTTCTCATTCCTAGTGCCTCCCACTGCTTTGATATGGCGCCTATAAGGCCTTCAGACTCGCCCAGCCTCCGCCTGGGGCGCCAGGTAAGAGAAAAGGCTCTGAGTATTTTATATGCTCATTTACATACTTATTTGCATGAACCTTCTTTTCCCAGTGCCAGAGTTCTAACTTCCAGGATGCTCTGCACCTCTTCACAGAGAATCTTCCAGCAGTTACAGGTCTGGCTTAAAGATATAAAGAAGAGCCAGAATTGATGTGGGATCTAAACCCAGCCCTTCACCAGTCCCATCATGGCAACTGCATCCTGGCATTTTTCTTCACTGTACGAAAGAAAGCAGCTGGTTTGGAAGGAGGAAGTTCCTAGACTTGGGATTCAGTGCCTGTTCTGTGTGCTTGTTCTCCAGTCATCCTCACTGCCAACGACAAGTTGTGCTTTGTCGCAGTTCAGTGTAAATGTAGGCCAGTGGTTACTGTCCTTGCAGACATTGGTATTCTGCATGGTAAATGTCGGGGAAATATGGCTCTCCATGCTGGAGCCTTCTTCTCTCCAAGATCAGAATCTGGCTTGAATTCTGCCCTCTTGCTTCTGGACTGGGTACATACTGCCCATGACTCTCCACTTCCTAACCCTGTCTCGCCTGCGTCTTAGTCTGCAGTGGTTAATCATTGTCAACAGAATTAAAAATCACCATGGAAACAACTCTGGACTGTCTTTGAGGACCTTTCCAGCGAAGTTATACTGAAAAGAAAATCCACACCGGAAGTGGTGGTAACTTCCCACCCCTGAGGTCCCAAATGAATAAAAAGGGAAGCTGAGCCCCAGCCTTCTGACTGTGGGCGTGATGTGACCAGTGGTCTCATGCCCCTGCCACCATACCTTTGCCATTGTGATGGACTGTATCCCCTACCATGAGCCAAAACACACCCCTCCTTCCTTACACGTTTCTTGTCGGCAGGAAGGGGGCTAATACAGTCCGTTTCTGTCTTCTGTGTGTTTCCGTCTGGAGGAAATGGCTGTGCAGCTCTTCTCTCTCTCGGTCTCTCTTTTGGTCTTCCTTTTAGTGCCTTCCCCCCCTCCCCTCCCCACAATCAAATGTCACTCCCCAGTGCTTCGAGCTTCCTGCCTGAAATGTCTGAGTTCTGGCTCATCATCCCTGGTTTGGGGGTTAGTCCCAAAGCTAACCTCTTAGGCTGACCACAGCTCACTCCTCTAAGCAGCGGCCACCAAGGAGGAAGGAGCAAGCCCAGGAGAGTGACAACCTCTAAGGAGCAGGTTGGAAAGGAGGGAGGGCTGAGGGAAAAGTGTAACCAGAGGACATGTGCTGTCACTTAGGGCTAGCCTTAGTTCTGCTCACAGGAGCTACCCTGGATCCTGCATTGGCCTCTCACCACAGCTCCTCACCAGATCCAACCACCACACATCATCCATTTAGATACTTAGCATGTGTGCTGGCCTTGTGCATGGTGCGTCTGTTAAGGGAATCATGCCCTTCATACAGAATCCACATGCTTGGGCTGTCCCTCCTGCTCTGCTAGATGAGCCTGTGGATATCGTCTGCAGTCTTCCTTTCAGTCTGACACCTGGATGGCTTTGGTGTTGGTCTGTCCTCTCCCCTCAAGCGTTCTCAGAGCTTCTGGAGAGCACTCACCCTGGAGGGTGTTAAAGGAGCAGTCTCTTAGCAGTGATGTCATGGACAGCATCGAAAACTTAAGGTGCAAAGCTACACAGAGAAACCCTGTCTCGAAAAATCAAAAAAAAAAAAAAAAGCTTAAAGAAAAAACAAAAACAAAACAACTCAAGCATGCCCTCTCCTCCTTTCCTACTTGCTCCATAGAGGCTGTTGCTCTCCCAAATTTGCAAAGATACAAAAATTAAATGAAACCACATCAACTAAAAAAAGTCTGCATAGCAAAGGAAACAGCAAAACGAGAAGCTGCCCAGGACTTGGGAGAAAGCATACACTAGTCCTGAGTCAAATAGGGGGGCTAATATAAAAACATCAGGAACTCCCACAGCTCAAAGACAACAATAGTTTAAAAAGGGCCAAGCTGGGTGTGTATGGTGCTGCACATTTGTAATTCCAGCACTCAGGAAGCTGAGGCAGAAGAATGGTGAGTGGACCGCCAGTCTGGGCTGTGCAGTGGTGGTCTCCATTGAGAGCAGCTGGTTTGGGAGGATGAAGCTGTTATTATTCTCAAAATTCCTTAATTTTTCTCCTTGTTATTCTAAAAAAATAATTTGCAATCATAAACAGAATCCTGACTAAACATTTTCAAAGGAAGCATAAGAGTGGCCAGCAGGTTCATGAGGCCATTCTCGCTGCCATTAGTCAGAAAAGGCAAAGCAAAACTGGAGGGGGCAGCAATCGCACCTGTGTGTGTGTGGGGGGGATGTGACCCAAAGGACAAGAGCAAGCCTTGGTGCCGCTGTGGAGAAGAGGGAGCCTTACTCCCTGCTGTGGGGATTGTAAATTACTACAGATGTAAGAGGAAACACTGCGGACAAGCCTCACAAATTAATTATTGTGTATATTTACAAGGGAGATGAAAGTCAATATGTCAAAGCTGGCAGAAGAAGCGATCCCAGCAGGCATCCTTCCTCCCACCTCGGCTGTGGGACTTAGCTCCTCCCAGTGTCTGGGACAAGAACCTCCCACCCCACCCACACCCACAAGGTCTTCTCGCCCATGGGACAGCGATGGGAGAGACTGTACTCCTAGGAAGGCCACCAACTATTGACCTCTTTTATCTCAGTGGTGGGGAGGGTAAAACAGGAAGAATTTTATCGCTTAGACTTTGTGGATTTTCCTAGAGAAATTTGTAAGGATGCCATTTGTTCACGGTGTCCTGGCGTGTACTTTCTGTAGACTAGGAGACATGGGGTGGAGGGGGGGGGTAACTGAGCCAGAATACAACGGCAATGCTGTGGATCCTAACAGATAACTATACTGGTGAATGTTGCCAATTTGCCTAGCCAAAGACAAAATGTCGATGCCCAAGTCATAGCTTAATCATCAAAACGCTTCTAATGAAGAGCTGGGGATGGAGTCCCTTGCCACAATGCCAGCTTAGTCTTCGAGAGATCCTGGGTCCTGTCACCAGCACCACAAAAAAGAACATGGTAGAGTTGAGGAGAAGGGTATGTGGTGTGGACTGCATGGGGACCACTGATGCTTGACCAAGTTCCAGCATTTTGAAATCTCAGACCACACTTCTCCAGCACCTTTTACTTTCATTTTTTAAAGTGATTCTTACTATGTATTATGGGACTTCCTTATGCCTTTTCCTTTGGGAAATTTTGTGCAGGCTTTAAAGGATGAAAACGTATAAAATGGCAGCCTCTTTAAACAAAATAATTCTTTGGAAAATCCTCACCATCATTGAACCATATAGCATGATGATTCTGCACACAAGAATACTATTGTGCTTTCCTAATTAGACCAAGAATGGGAAAATTAGAGATTTACTAACTGGCGCACTTGACCCCAAGGATGAAAAGTGTACAGTCCAGATCCAGAGCCCGAGGCCATTAGGGACAAGAGTTCAGTTAATAAGTATAGAGCAATCAGAATGGTACCATGTAACGGGAAAGAGGAAGACATCAGGACCTTCTCTTGGGGAGTGCAGGAGGGGAACAGGCCCACACAGAAGACACAAAGGAACACAGTTAGGGAACAGCTCAGCGCTATGCTGTATCATGCCCCTGGAGGAATGAAAATTGCTCTTAGATTGTAGTGGACAGTCTGGTCCCCAGAAGTCCTTTTCCCAAGGTCAGGCATTTGGATAAGGGCCTCCAATTCCCTCAGGGCCTTGGGAAAGTTCCTGCTTGCTAAAAGTAGCCATTCTCCTTGTCTCTGGCAGGAGGAACTGTGGCCCTTCCATTGATGTAAGAGGGCTCCTGGTAGTTACTGAACCTTTGAGAACAATAGACATTTAGATACTTGCTGATCTTATCAATGTTGTCACAGGAAAAATAGTATAATGAAGCTAATGGCCACTTTCTTGTCCCTGAATCTTTGAGCCTGCTTTCAATCTTGCCTGTCACTAAAACTACTGAGTATAAAACATGCAGCCTTTTTTCAGTAAACACTCTGGCAGCCATCCCTATTCACCCTCAGATCTTGTCAGCCCCACACCCCTCACCCTGATTCTCCCACACCTGTTTGGGACCTGAATGAACCCTGCTGGAGCTAGATTCCAGCAGGTATGGGTTCTGGTTTTGTTTTGTTTTGAATTCAGTAATTTGGAATATGTGCACTTAAGGAAGGGAAAAATACAGAGCCAATAGATTTTAAAGGGGAAGAGGACAGATGGTCACTGGACAGATGGACACGAAAGCAGAAAGAGGACTACTATGGAGGAGAAGGGAGACCTATGAAAGGAGTGGGTAGGAGGACAATGAGGAAGAGAGTGAATAAGAATGTATAATAGTGTGTTAGTGTGGTAGATGCATATGTGTGTGGACCACAGGATATGTATGGTGATCCATGGACAGTTTGTGGAAACTGGTTGTCTCCTTTGACCACATATAATAGAGTTTCTGCCCTGATAATAAGTTGCTCTGTCAATGCAGTAAGCCAGATAAAGCCGAACTGAAATAGAATAACAACAGGTGAGTTTTCCAGATCCCAGAGATCAAGGTTGGAGAAGCTGCACCCCTGAACTAAAGCAGAAAGATTTTATAGGTTGTAGGTGAGGGGTGATGATGTGTCCACCACAAGCTGGGTTTGTGCCCAAGGATGATCAAAAGCTGAGCACTTAGGTGGGGATTTGGGCTGCTGGCAGCAGCAGGGGAGGAAGTTGCCATAGTCACCAAGAATACAGACTGGGCTTTTTGGTGCCTTTTCCTTGTTTGGAGACTCTCTGAGGGGACAGGGTATGGAGAGAGGGGGGGGGGGGATGAAGCCTTCTGGCTCTTGCAGGGGCTAGCTGGAAGTTCCAACCAAACAGATCCTACATGGGAGTCTGATTGTCAGGTTTGGTGGCAAGTCCTCCTACTCACTGAATATTCTTGCCAGCCCAGAAAAAAAAAATAGCATACTGATCATATTTCCAACTCCTGCGTTTTGTCCTCTGATCTCCACAAGCGTTTCATGGTGTGCAGGACTCCACCACACACAAACTAAATGTTTTAATTTTAAAAAAAAAGACATAGTATACAAATAGGTAACAGTTTACATAGACCTAATTCCTCCACTCTCCAGAAAGCAAATGTTGTTGTTGTTGTTTTTGTTGTTGTTGTTTTTAACTGTTTCTGGTATATTCTCTTACGTGGAAAAAGGAAATTCTAAGAGTTTGTGGAAGATTCTATATACAATAATGTTCTGCTTGCTCAAACAAACTGAAAATATTTAAATGCTGCATGAGTTAAACCATTCACTGGCAGTGATTGGTGCCTTTGTTCTAAAATTTGCCATAAGTTAACAATATGGCATGTATTATGTCTGCTGTAATTTTTTAAAGACAGTGCAACACATATATGACCCAGGCTAGTTTGGAACTCAGAATCCTCCTGAGTCCACACAGACTCCCATATTTGGCTGTTAAAATTTTTAATATAATGTGTTTTCTTTTCTCATAAAAAGTTATTTTGGGTGGGCAAGGTGGCTCAGAGGTTAAGGGCATTTTCTGCCAGGCCTGAAAACCTGAGTTTGATCCCTAGGACACATGTGGTAAAAAGAGAGCCCACACCCAACTTGACCTTGATTTGTGCACCATAGCATGTATACACACATAGGCAAACATAGACACATACAATAAATAGATGCATGTACTTCCTGACATGACAATGCCCATGCACCCATGAACTCACTGCAGGTATGGTTATCCTCACAAAGTCACGTCAGTAAGGTGGTCAGTCAGCATCCCAATAGGCAGTGATAATTGGATTATGTTACCAACACACACACACACACACACACACACACACACAGGAGGAGATTTGAAAGGGGGAGATTATGTGTTTTGGGTGCTTGGGAAGAGTGGGAGAGGGAAGTTAAAATAGTTAAGATTTGTTGTTTACATGTATGAAATTGTTAACAATAAATAAAACTATTTTATTAAAATAATTGAATTTAGGATTCTTTCTTGCTATTTAGGAAGGTTTTGAGTTGTTCTAGCATTGCCTTGATTGTGAGATTCCCCCATTTTTAATTCACTTTACATAATATGGGCTCCTTATATTTTCAGTGGTGACCCCAGCTTAGTTATATCTACAATACAGCCCACTAATCTGTTTCTCTTCTTCCCCTTCTTTCCAGTTTACATGTCTTACTTTTCATCAGAGTAAAAATGTCTTGTTATTCTTTTAGCTTTGCCTTTATGTTTTAGTCTCAGATATACAATCAATTAAATACATTAAATGCCCACTAAAGGGCTTTTGATGAAGGCTCATCTCTGGGTTGGATGGGGCCCATATTATTGTAAGTGCTCTATTTGCATTAAATACACAAGACTGGTGGAAATAACACAAAAAGACCAGAAGGAGCACCGCATGGCATTGGCCTTTTGAGTTAGACACAAATGCACGGTTCCTGTCTCTGTTAATCACAAAGATCCATACCTGACTCCTGTTAGGAAGGAAAACAGTGTTTGCCGTGACTGGGTGGCACCAGCTTCCCCACAGTGAATAGGATCAGACAGCCTCCAATCCTCAGAGAAATCCACAGAACAAAGGCTCATGAAGAAATGTGTTTTCTTGACCTTGCAGGGCTGTACAACTTGAGAAGGGAGCTTGGTTTCAGGACTGATTTGGAAAGATCAATGAGCCTTCCTAATCCCCTTCTCCGGGGTTTTCATGGGGGTCCCTCCACTTGGGGTTCTCTGCCTTGCAGAGCTGTCCCTCACCAGCTCTTGTTCCAGGAGGAGGAATGTTACCTGAGAGAACAGTTGAACTCTGAGGACTCTGAAACACAGTTGGGTTGAGGGGGCATAGGAAAACAGGACAAGCAAATCTGGAATTCTATGTCCAGAGGATCCCAAAGGTAAATTACAATGCGAGACTGGGCTTCTGTTTAGGAGCACGGGATGGTGCTCGCTCTTCTTCCAAGTCTTTGGCTCACCAGAACAGAATCGCTGCCAAGGATTCCAGCCTCTTCAGAGGTTGCCCCTGGGGCGGGAAGTGGGAGGCTGTCCTGGTTTGACCCGCAGAGCACAGAAACTGGGGGAGGGGAGGCAGCGGTGGGGCCTGGGACCGCCAACCACCTCTCAGCCCTCATTTCGTCACTTCCCCATAAGAATCACACACAGGATCTTCGCCTATGAAGAAAGCGTTTTAGACACCCACAGAGCCACATTATTCCTTTCCCGTTTTTATTCAAAACACCTTTTGTTTAAAACTAAAATCATCTATGGGTATAAAATCCTCTTCCTAGATGTCTTAGATTGCCTCTAAAGTCTCATCCAGTTAAGTGACAACATATTTGTGGGGGGGGGGGGGGAGAGAAGGGAGCTCCTTGGAGGGTCTGTTTCATAGTAACTGAAAGACCTCAGAATTCTCATCAGTATCCATTAAAGCAAGAGTCAAAATCGAGTGAAGATGTTCTGGTGGCTGGGTTAAAAACACACCTGAGGCAGCCAGGAGCCAACCTAGAACCTTCTGATCCAAAGTCAGACGCATTCCCATTGTACTACTGACCATGTCTACAGGTCTCTTTACTGAGCTATTTTAAAATAAGACTTGAGAATCATTGCTTGTTTTAAAGCTACTAGATAACCATTCATTCTGACTCCCCTTGTTTAACTTCCACAGCTTACCCTGCCTGGCAGATAGCCTCCCACACTCGTGGTTTTTACCAAGCACTGCCAGTCACAGATTAGACCTGTTACTGGAGTTCCTAAGGCCAGAGCCTGAGTCGTGGAAGCCCTAACAAGTCAGCCTGGATCAATTAAACAAGAATGGTGAAAAGTAAAAAGGGGGCTTTATTCATCTTAACCACGTTTATAAGAGTAAAAGTTTCAGTGAACCGACCCCTCCTCTCCCAGCCCCAGGTCCATATGGTAGGTCCTGAGGTGAGGTTCAGCTTCATTTATTTATTTGAGTTCCATTCATTTATGTATTAATGGTGTTAGAGAAAAACTTTCATCAGTCAGTTCCCCCCTTCCACATTGTGGGGACCCAGGGTTTGAGCTAAACACCTTTACCCCTGAGCCAGTCTCCTGGTCCTGATAGAGTTTCAGAACTGTGTGAAATCTTTCTGGGAAGATAAGCTTCCTACCTGGACGGTACCAGGCACCCAACATTTCTTTCCCTGCTCAACAAGAGATTCATGCATCATCTCAGTTGTCTGATAAGCAGAGAGGGGTACAGCATCTGTTTAGTAGTGTCATTCCTGCAGAGGTGGCCACTGATAGTTTCTGTTTCTAAAGTCCAGCCTACCCATTATTTTCTGCTTCCTACAAGATAGAGACATCCAGAATGTCCTATGATCAGATAACGAGAACAGGAAAAGATAGAGAAAATGTTTAATACCTCCTGGAAAGCCGACCCAAAGTTCTGGACAGCTGTTGGGAAAGAAAATTTCTCCCAGATGTGTCCTCTAGTCTCACCTACAGACTTTCCTGTTGCTGGTTTTAGTGAGCAAAAAGGTCTAAATCATTTTGATCATTTTCTAGCTAAAAAAAAAAAAAAAATAGTGCTGGAGAATCTGGGACATACAGAAAATTTTCTCTTTGTGATCAAAGAAAGAACAGGTAGGGTGTGCTGTTTCTATGGCATAGCAGTTATCATGTTCCCCTGACTCAATTCAAAAGCAGGAAGATAATGGCATCTTTTCCACAAATATGTCCCGTCTGGAAGTTTTTAATTTGAGCAAAATAATGGTGTACCCCATGAGCCTTGGAAACGAAAAATAAAAACACTTTGTTTCATTTTAAGGGGGATTTTCCTGTCTCTCACCAAGAGGAATGAAAATATGACGACTCTAAACTTTTTTAAACAACTCTGAAATTTTCCTTTTTTTGCAGCAAGGAAGCCAGCTGCCCACTCCCCAAGACATTCTCAGGGACTCCTAGCAGAGGGCTGGTGGTTGCTGAGAGCCCTGGTCCAGTGTGAATCGTTTAAAACTCTCCTGCTTTTTACCTTCGTTAAAATTATTATTGTTTTCCTATTATTTTATTTATTATTTTGAGACTCATTCTGTAGCCTCAAACTGACCTGGAACTCCTGTTTCACCTCCTCAGTCCTGGGATTATGGACGTGTACCATCATGCCTGGTGTAATAGTGAAATTTAAAAAACAAGTTTTATTTATCTGTATGTGTAGGTGCGAGTGTATGCCCTGTGTGTTTGGGCGCTAGGAGAAACCAGAGTAGGACATCATATCCGCTGGAAATGCAGCTACAGGTGGTCGGAGCCGATCTTAACTGCTGAGCCATCTCCCAATCCCAGCAATGACGTTTTTGACAGAATCTAAGACATACTCACTTCTCTGAGCTTACACTTAAAAGTATTTATTTCCAACAGCATATCCTACAGCAGAATGAGGGAAACGTTTCTAGCATGATGCTCCTAGTCTTCTCAGAACCAGACAGCCCAGGTGCCCTCCCTCTGTAGTTTATTATCGCTGGCAAATGTTCCGTCTTCTGTAGTATCGGTACGATGATGCCATAGGGTTTAGAATTCACAGTATTGCTCTCAGAAAGGTATCCGAGAGTGTTTGCGCTTCACCGGCGATACTCCGTGGCGTGCCCTCCTAGAATTTCTCCTTAGTTTAACTCTCTTGTGAGGCGCTTAAAATGAGGTCTTGGCTCGCTGGCGGATTCTCACGGAGGAAACCCGAGCCCAGGTGAACCATTCGGAGAGTATCTTTGGACTCCAGTGAACAACAAAATTGCTCAAGATTATTTATTAAAATTGTGTGT